GTTTTGGCGCAGCTGAACTCCCTCTTACATATCTTGGCGCTCCCCTCTATGTGGGCAATCGGCGCAATATTCTTTATGAGGAACTCCTTGGAAAACTCCGTCGTTATCTGCAGCGTTGGGATCGGTCGGTTCTATCTCACGGGGGTCGATTACAGTTAATCAGGAGCACTTTGTTCTCGCTCCCCCTCTATCTGCTGCAGGTACTTTGCCCCCCCCCAGGCGGTACTTCACTCTGTGGAGCAACTTTTTGCTCGTTTTTTCTGGGGCTCTTATCACGGGCACCGCCGCCGCCATTGGATCTCCTGGGCGGATATTGCACGGCCACAGGAGGAGGGTGGGCTTGGCATTCGTCGCCTGGCCGATACGGTTCGGGCCTTCTCGTTTAAACTGTGGTGGCGACTCAGAGATGGCTCCTCCCTTTGGGCTCGCGCGCTTCAACAGAAATATTTTCGGAATTCCTTTCCAGGACTTGCACCCTGCAGGAGCTACGACAGCCCGGTTTGGAAGCGTCTCTGCCAGGTTCGAGCTGAGGCACAGACTCAGATCACTTGGAATTTGGGGCGCGGGGACTGCTTCTTCTGGTATGATATTTGGTGTGGAGATCGTCCGCTATGCGCTGACCGCCAGGACCGCCCTCCGCCGATACGGGTGAAAGAGATGTGGGTTAACGGGACGTGGGACTTGCCGCGCCTCCGAGCTTACCTCCCTGAAACCCTTGTTCAGCAGGTCTCGGCGATTCCTTCTGATCTCCAGACTGCGGATCAGCCGATCTGGAAGGCCTCGACCACAGGTACTTTCTCTACAACCTCAGCATGGGAGATGAGCCGAACAGCTGGAGCACGGAGCTGGCTCTCTTGCAGCTTGTGGTCGCCGCTTCTTACTCCTACAATGTCGGTATTCCTATGGCGTTTATTTCGCCGTCGGATACCCGTCGATGAGGCCTTACGGAAGATGGGCCTCCCTATTGTCTCTTGCTGCCAGTGCTGTCGGGAGTCTGAGACGATCGAGCACTTATTCTTCTCGTCGGCGGTTGCCCAGCGCGTGTGGCGCCATCTTGCCGATTTATTTCATATCCAAATCCCGCGGACACATGCGCCCCACCTGATGGTTTCCGCTTGGCGTCTGTCCTCCCCACATGCGCGGAGTATCCGTACTTATATACCGCTCCTGGCCTTCTGGTTTCTTTGGACGGCACGGAATGACGCCAAACACCGAGGTATCCAGATCTCATCTGACAGGATTATCTGGCGTATTCACTCGCATTTGCAGGTCTTAGGCCGTGCTGGCCTCCTTCAGCGTCAGCACTGGCCTGGGGAGGTGCACCTAGCCTCTAGTCTCGGCCTTCGCCTCCCACCTCCGGTTCTTCGGCCGCCGGTCATGGTACGCTGGGAAGCCCCGTCTCCAGGCTGGTTCAAACTCAATACCGATGGGGCATCGCTCGGGAATCCAGGCGCCGCTGGAGCCGCGGGCGTCATTCGGGATGCCACCGGCGCCCCACTTGTGGCATTCCAAGTTCCCCTCTCGGATACGACAAACACTTTGGCTGAACTGCAAGCGATTCGATCTGGAGTGGACCTGGCGGTTGCCCGCGGCCTCCTCCCTCTCTGGATCGAGACGGACTCGGCCAGCAGTATCTCTCTCATCTCCTCCTCGACGGGACACTGGACTCTCCAGCCTTGTCTCCACCGCCTGCGCCTACAGCTTCGCAGCATCGAGTGGAGGATATCTCATATTTACCGCGAGGGCAATAAAGTGGCAGACAATTTAGCGAACGCCTCTGTTGCCCTTCCTCACACGCGGATCCTGGAACCGGCAGACATCCCTACGAGGACTCGGGGCCTTATCCATGCTGACGCGGCGGGCCTCCCGTGCTTTCGCTTCCGTTAGCTTTTATTTGTTTACAATTTTTATTTACTTTCCCAGCACTTGTACTGAAATTTGCAGAACTACGTATGGCTTGATCCCGTTGGGGTACGTAGGCAGCTCTTTGAGCCCAGCCAAAAAAAAAAAAAAAAAAAAAAAAAAAAAAAAAAAAACCCAAACCCCAAACCCCAAACCCTAAACCCTAACACCTCCCTCCTGGTTTGGAATGTGCGAGGGGTTGGCAACCCCCGAGCTCAACGAGAGGTACATTGGCTCTGCAAGCAATACCATATCCGCCTTCTTATACTTCTTGAGCCTATGGTTATGACAGACGTTGCATTCTTTTGCTGGCGGTTTGGTTTCTCCCAGATGCTTACCAACGCGGTCAATTCTATCTGGATTCTTGCGGATGATTCCTATAAATTGGAGCCTATTTCGGAGATCGATCAGTATCTTCATGTGCAGGTTTCATCTCTGCAGCACCGCTGGCCCTTTCTTCTCTTTGGAATTTATGCGCGATGCTCTGTTACCCAGCGCCGTGCTCTCTGGTCTTTCCTACAAGACACGGCAACTTCATCATCGGGGCCCCCTTGGGTGATCGGCGGCGACTTTAATGCCATCGCTGACATATCTGAATGGAAGGGTCTAGGTCACCCTAAGTTGCGCTCAATTCAGAATTTCTCAGCAGCAATCCTTGATGCGAACCTTATTGATGCTGGTTTCGAGGGCCCTCCACATACATTAACAAATCGGCGAGTTTGGGAGCGCCTTGACTGCATTCTCTACAGTACTGTCTGGGAGGATTTTGCGAGACGACTCGAGTCAGGCACCTCCCGCGGATGCATTCGGATCACGCCCCGCTCTTGGTCCGGTTCTCGCATGAATGACACCGCCTTGCCTCTGCATTCCGGTTTTAGAATATGTGGACCAGACACCACACCTTCCAGGAACACGTCCGCCAGAGTTGGGTAATCCTGACGGGTACCACCGGTCTCGTCAACCTGCGACTGAAACTTGGACGCCTCAAGCAGGCTCTGAAGTGGTGGAACAAACACATGTTTGGTAATGTTTTTCAAGTATTGGCGGCCGCAGAGAAAGACGCAGAGGAGTGCGAAGCGGACTTCGATCGGGATCCCTCTGATGCCAACCTCCTCCATTGTCAACGTAACGCTGCGGCTTTGACACATGCGATTGCATTGGAAGAGGCTTTCTGGAAACAAAAAACAGCCTGTCGGTGGGCGGTCGATGGAGAGCAGAATTCCCGTATGTTCCACTCCATGGTGAAGGAACGGTGCCGGCGGGCTACGATATTCTCGATGGCGGACGGTGATCGTACCCTTACCGATCACTCAGATATTAAGCAATCAGCCATTACCTACTTCTTTGAGATGTTGGGGCAGCCTGATGATGCAGACACATCGGGAATTGATGCCCTGGCGGACCCTCCGCCCTAGGTTCCGCCAGCTGAGTGCGCTCGGTTGCTAGAGCCGTCGACGCTTGCGGAGGTTCGTGCTGTGGTCTTCTCAATTGATCAGGATAGTGTGGCTGGCCCTGATGGATTCTCTGCCGCTTTCTACCAAAAGTGTTGGGATATTATCCGGGATGATGTTTTTGATGCTGTACTGGATTTCTTTTCGGGAGCTCCTCTCCTATACGGCGACGACTCTTGTGCTTATCCCCAAGAAGGAAGGGCCACTTCCTTGGGCTGATTATCGGCCTATCAGCCTCTGTAATGTGGTTTGTAAGATCTTCACAAAGCTACTTACCATGCGCCTTGGCCCGCTACTGCCGCAGCTCCTGTCACCGCATCAGAGTGGCTTTGTCAAAGGTCGGGCGATCGCTGACAATATTCTGCTGGCTTTGTCAAAGGTCGGGCGATCCTTGTGAATGGGGACCTGGGTGGCTTCTTCCCCCCCCCCCCCCTCGCGAGGCCTCAGGCAGGAAGAACCCCTGTCCCCGACCCTTTTTGTTTTGGCTGCAGATTTTTTATCACGCGGCTTGGAGCGCCTATACAGTCGATTCCCGGATCTGTACTACCGGTGTCGTGGTCGGTTCCGGTTGACACACTTAGCCTATGCGGATGATGTACTCATCTTTGCCAATACCTACGGCGATCGCATCAGCCTTCTGACGGACTTTCTGACGACCTACGCACGGATTACTGATCAGAAGGTGAACTGTCAAAAAAACCAACTTGTCTTTAGCCGCCAATGCCCGGAGAGTGTACAGCGGCAGCTTCAATCTGTGACTGGTTTTGGCACGGCTGGACTTCCCCTCACGTATCTTGGCGCACCGCTCTATGTGGGCAATCGGCGTAATATTCTCTATGAGGAACTCCTTGGGAAGCTCCGCCGCTATCTGCAGCGTTGGGATCGCTCCGTTCTATCACATGGGGGTCGTTTACAGTTGATCAGGAGCACCCTTTTCTCGCTCCCCCTCTACTTGCTGCAGGTACTTAGCCCCCCCAGGCTGTGCTTCACTCCGTGGAGCAGCTATTTGCTCGTTTTTTTTGGGGCTCTTATCACGGGCACCGTCGCCGCCATTGGATCTCATGGGTGAATATTGCACGGCCGCAGGAGGAGGGTGGGCTTGGCATTTATCGACTGTCTGATATGGTTTGGGCCTTCTTATTTAAATTGTGGTGGCGACTCAGAGATTGTTCCTCTCTTTGGGCTCGCGCGCTTCAACACAAGTATTTTCGCAGCTTTTTCCCAGGCCTTGCACCCTGCCGGAGCTACGACAGTCCGGCATGGAAGTGTCTCAGTCAAATTCGAGATGAGGCACAGACTCAGATCATTTGGAATTTGGGGCGTGGGAAGTGTTTCTTTTGGTATGATACTTGGTGTGGGGACCGCCCTCTCTTCACCGACCGCCAGGACCGCCCCCCGCCGATACGGGTGAAAGAGATGCGGACAAACGGGTCGTGGGATTTGACGCGTCTTTAGGCCTACCTTCCGACAACACTTGTTCAGCAGGTCTCTGCGATTCCTTGTGATCCCCTGACTGTGGACCAGCCAATATGGAAGGCCTCGGCCACAGGTACTTTTTTCTACGACTTCAGCCTGGAGATGAGCTGAACAGTTGGGGTACGGAGCTGGCTTTCTTGCAGCTTATGGTCGCCACTTCTTACTCCTACAATGTCGGTATTCCTATGGCGTTTATTTCACCGTCGGATACCCGTCGATGAGGCCTTAAGGAAGATGGGTCTTCCTATTGTTTCTCGCTACCAGTGCTGTCGGGAGTCTAAGACGATCGAGCACTTATTCCTCTCGTCAGCGGTTGCCCAGTGCGTGTGGCACCACTTCGCCGATTTATTTCGCATTCAGCTCCCAGGGACACATGCGCCCCACCTCATGGTTTCTGCTTGGCGCTTGTCCTCCCCTCATGTGCGGAGCATCCATGCCTATATCCCACTTCTGGTTCTTTGGTTTCTTTGGACGGCTCGGAACAACGCCAAACACCGAGGTACCCATATTTCATCTGACCGGATTATTTGGCGCGTTCACTCTCATTTGCAGGTCCTTTGGCGTGCTGGCCTCCTTCAACGACAGCATTGGTCAGAGGATTTTCACCTTGCTTCCTGTCTCGGCCTTCGCCTCCCTCCCCCGGTTCCTCGGCCGCCGGTCTTAGTACGCTAGGAGGCTCCTACTCCAGGATTGGGAGGCTCCTACTCCAGGATGGTTCAAACTCAACACCGATGGGGCATCACTTGGAAATCCAGGTGCTGCTGGGGCTGCGGGCATTATTCGGGACGCCACTAGTGCTCCCCTTGTGGCTTTCCAGGTCCCACTCCCGCACGCGACAAATACTATGGCTGAATTACAGGCGATTCGATCTAGCGTGGACTTAGCAGTGGCGCGAGGCCTCCTCCCTCTATGGATTGAGACGGACTCCGCCTGCAGTATCTCTTTACTCTCCTCCTCGACGGGACATTGGACTCTCCAACCTTGTCTCCACCACCTACGTCTTCAACTACGCACCATCGAGTGGAGGATCTCCCATATCTACCGCGAGGGCAATCAAGTGGCGGACAACCTAGCGAACACATCAGTCCCCCTTCCTCAGATGCGGATCTTGGAGCCAGCGGACATCCCTACGAAGGCTCGTGGCTTCATCCATGCTGACGCAGCGGGCCTTCCGTGCTTTCGCTTTCGTTAGCTCTAACTTGCTTTTATAATTTTCTTTTTACTGCTTTTTATCCTTTTAGACCTTGTACGCACAAACTCTTAAGTCATAAAATGTTAGTCTCTAAATTCGTTGTAAGATTATAAAAATAATTATAATCATCGATCCCAAAATACCTTCACAGACTTTGCAAAAGAGAATGTATCTACTAATCATTATTGAACTAATGATGCAATGTCAAAAGATTTAGCTTTTGATGAAGTTTGCTTCAATAAATCCAACAAGATTTGGATTTTATGTAGTGGCACCTTATCTTCCGAATTGAAGCGGAGCATGATTAGCACTTGCATATTCAAATAAAAGCTCCTCAAATCCATTAGTTTCCCTTTTTTTTATCACAACAATATAAAGTCAAATATAGTATAACGTTTAGGAGAGATCCTTAGGAGAAACTTCATGTTATTTCTTCAAGAACACAAAGATTTAAATATCATTGAAAGAATTGCAAAAAAGAAGGACCTAGGTAGGTCAAAGCTCCCGTCAATTCATCATTTTGCAGAGATGATTCTTGATTGCAATCTTATTGATGTCGGATTTAAATTATGGACTTACTGTTTTAAAATCATATTTATATTTTTTATATTTGTATCTTTATTTTGACATATTATATGAATGAATTATTTAAAAAAGAAATAAATTTTATATGATTTTAAAAAATTATACATTTATTTTCTTGATAGAAAAATATTTCAAAATGCTTAACGAATTTTATGTAACTTTTGAATGTTATTTTTGCACTTTTGATTCATTTTAAATGTATATTATTGTATTAACTTTAATTAGAGACAAAGCTTGTTTCAATGACAATTCTTTCACTTGGACTAAATAGAGAGCAATTAGATAAAATTTTATACAAAACAATTGATTAAACTTTCATTTCTATCTTTTAGGACGAACTCTTCCTAATATATTTTGTCTATCTTTTAAATTCAAACTTTTAAGTTCACCCTTTTGCATCTTTTAAATTTATGTAAATGTAAATAAAATTAAATGATTAATTTAATAATCTTATAAATAATAATAATAATAAAATAAGGGATTATATTGGGAAATAATTCTGACCGACTTAATTCGGTTTTGAACAGTGCTTGAAAAACTAGGTCGGGCAACCTAATTAAATTTTATTTTAACTTTATTTTTTAAAATTAATCTAATAAAAAATGATAAGTGAAAATTGAATTCACAATCTAATGTAAGTAAAGAAATAATCAAACCCTTGTAGATGCATGTGTGGATGTGTTGAAGAAAATTCTTGTCGAAATGCGAGTGTGTGATTACTGTGTAAAAAAACAGGCAATTATTTTTTCATCAAACTATAGCTTAATTGTTGTCGTTATTTTATTAGTCTCTATATATATATATAAATACAGATTATTTTTTAAATATTAATTCTAATAAACCTCATCCGGTCGCCCGATTAATTAGTTCCGGGCCTACTTTTTTCAAGTCCAAAACACAATATTTAGGGTGCGTGCGTTTTGGGGAATTGAATAAGCATGACCCAATATTTTTTCGAGATCCACAGTTTTCATTGCCCGGATTCGTGCCGTCCACGGCACACGGTTGGGGTGCGGCGGCCTCATGATCATATGCATAAAACATCGCCTTCTTCGCCTCTCTCGCGCGCGCTCTCTCCCTAACTCGTTACCGCTGTTGTAATTCACTGTACACAATGGCGTTTCTCCGGCTACGCTCAGCAGATGTCGCCGGATTCAAACTATTCTTCGCCCTCTTCCTCCTTTATGGAATGATGTCTTATCTCGTGTCCTCCGTTATTCACATGAAGTTCATAACGCCTCTGGGCCCTCACGCACCGCTGGATCGCTTCTCCGAAGCCAGAGCTGTCGAGCACGTTCGTGTGCTGGCGGAAGAAATCGGCGGTCGACAGGTCTGTCTTTCCCCTAAATTTGTTGGGTTCCACCTGGCTGTATGCCATGCAAGCGTACTTAGTGTGCTCTGTTCCGATACCCCAGAAATCTTGTGGTTTAGGTTTCCAGATAGAATTACTCAAAGATTGCAGACTAAAAATTGTGGATGTTTCTATATAGTTCGTTGACTTCTGTTCATTTTAATTTTTCAATGTTGAGACGCCTTCAATTTGCAAATTCACGACTGTAATGCAAATTGTCTTTTACCTTTTTATTTAATTATTTATTTTTATTGTTTATTGTGATATGTGGTGCAATTGTATTTGATGCGGCCTCTAAGTTTGCTATTTTTGGGAGTGTTTGTGCACCAACCTTGTGAAAGATTAACCTGAATATTTTTACTTTGTTATATTCTTTCCAATATTTCCTCTTCAATTCCTAATGAATAGTCTTTCAAACTGTTTCCCTTTATTTGCATTCAGGAGGGAAGTCCAGGTTTGAGAATGGCAGCTGCATACATTAAAACACAGTTAGAACTGATAAGAGAACGAGCTGGATCAAATGTTAGGTTGGTATGTTATGTGTAAATCTACTAGTTTCAGGTTGCATATTCTTAAATGTATACGGGTTTTATTTTGCAGGGTAGACATAGAAGAAACAGTTGTCAATGGCTCCTTCAATATGATATTTTTAGGACACAGCATATCACTAAGTTATAGAAACCATACAAATATTCTTATGAGGTACTTCACTTACTTTATTTGCGTCTTTCTGTTAACATTGTATTCCTATATAAAACTTCAACCATCTTGAAAACTAGGGATTGCATTGTTGATATTTGAGTGATCTCTTTGTGATTTAGGGTTTGCAACTTGTGTTTTTTTTCCTAGTGTTTGTGTTTTCTAGTTTTGTGGTTTTTTAGATAACTAGCGGTTGAGAGTGATGTTTTTGGAGCGCAATTGGGAGATTGAATAGTAAAATCAAATACTAATAACACAAGTGAACAGACCCTTAGTTTTCTGCATTAGGGATATTACTGGACCACTATTAGTACTTTTATGACACTCACACTTTATGCTCTCTTCAAGCATAAGAACATCCATAATTAATCTGTATATTGTAGACCATATGCTTCTCTGCTTAGCCACTTCGGGAATTATTTGACATCACAGCTGGAACTATGTGGCATCCAAAAGATGTCCAAAGGTCAAAGTTGACAGAGAAAAAGTTTTAGAAATATATGACACTGTTCTGAATCTTGTTCTTTGAGATAATATGCTCGTTGAATTGAGCAATCATAACCTGGATCAACTGCAGGATTTCCTCAATTGAGTCACTGGAAACTGAGCCATCAGTTTTATTAAATGCCCATTTTGATAGTCCTCCAGGGTCTCCAGGTGCTGGTGATTGTGGCTCATGCGTGGGTGGGTTTTTGACAAAACTTCCAGTTTAATATCATATGTAAGTTTGAAGTTAAGTTGGTTAGTTTTCCTTTCCCAGCATCACTGCTCGAGTTAGCAAGGCTCACAGTCGATTCTGGCTGGATTCCTCCTCGGCCAATAATATTCTTATTTAATGGAGCTGAAGAGTTGTTTATGCTGGTGAGTTCATTATATTGTCTATTATTGTGCTCTGCCATGTGCTTTTATCTTTGATGGCTTGAGAGTTGTTTTTATCAAATTATGGATAGGTAGCAAATTGATTGCTTATATATCTTCAACTATTATTTGGTGCTGATGTCTTCAAGAATACATGAATAAAATTTCAAGTGCTCGAGCTAATTTTCTGAACTATTTTTCTCCTTTTTACTATGAGTCCATATGGTTTTTGAGTATTCTTTAAATGTTATAAGTTTAATGATTGTGTATCTTTTGAATTATTCAATTGATGATTTTTTCTTATGGTAGAAACAATATTAGGATCCCTATATCAAACCAGGGATGCTAGTATGGAATAAGGTTGTGAGATACTGAGATAGATTAACGGGATTTTGGGTGAACCTTCAATTCATAACTATTTCATACAATACTTCAGGGTTCACATGGTTTCATGACAACACATAGATGGCGTAATACAATTGGTGCATTTATTGATGTTGAGGCATCTGGGACTGGAGGCACTGGTAAAATACATGTTCTATCAACGTATTCAATTGCGAAACATTCTGGACGAGACATATTACATCTAAAGAGGGAAAACCTTGTAAAATCAATTTATAGCATTGGAAATACATTACTACTGATATGGGCTATGCTGCCCCATAATTTTCTTTTTCCTCTTTATTTATTTTTCTCTTCATCCTTCTGATTTAATTTTCTTCATGCCATTGTTTATTTAAACAAAAAATAGAAGAAGTGTAATATTTACCCATCTTGCGTATGTGTAGACGCAACACAAATGGAAGTGGAAAAAAATTTGATTGAAGTTTTCCATAGAAAAGAAACTAATGGTTTAGGCAGAGTATAAGGGCTGACACCTTGAATTGGTCAAGGTATGCGGAATTATTCAACTCCATTTGTTAGAATAACTTCCATTGAGTCTTATTCAAAATTTCAATCACAAGCTTATTTGAATGGTTATTGTCTACCTAGAGTAAACTCAGCGGAAATTATTGTGGTATAGTGCTATAATCTTCTGCTATTACTAGGAAAGAAAACAACTGAATCAAAAACAGAACTGGAGATGACCTGAAATTTTAGGAGCATTCACAAGGAAGAAAATGTTATCACTAAAAGCTTAATTTAATAATATTTGAGGGACTTTCAGCGTGGTGCATTTCTATAATCTCAGTGGCTTGGGGTTGGTGCACACATCAGGGTGATAGATAAAGTGACACAGCATTGAGAGTAGTTAGTGGGTTGGTGGATTTGGTTTTGTCAAATCAATGGAAGAATGACTACTGAGATGAAGGCTTGGTGTTAGGAGTATTGATCATTGGGTTGTAAGAAAATTTGATATCAACCAGAATGAAGATTTTCTTTATTCATGTTGGCAACCAACAGAGCAGGAACTGGACCGAAATAACAAAAAAACCAAGAGAACACTTATGTGGGAAAAATACTCTTCACCGTCATGTATATGTTATTTTTATGGAATATTATATATGTTCATATAGAAGATGTCACTCTTCCAATGTACACACAAAAATAAACTAAGCAAGCATGCAATCTATCGTTTTACCCCTGATAGAAATTAGAATTCTCAGCCCCATCAAATAGACAATTTACCCCCTCAAGAAAAAAGAAGTTGAACAACCAAAGCTGTGGTGGTTTCTCTACTTGAATGAGTTGGATTAACTTTTCAGGCCTTTTTTGTCCTTTTTGTTTATTATCAAATTCCCAGAATGACTGCTTTAGCATAAGATATTTAGCACAAGCATATGCTTTCCTATTTTATCCTTAATATACCCTCTTTTCGATGCTTTACCATCAAATTTGACTGAACACGGGGTTGGGTTGAAGCTTTTCAATTTCTTGGTGTGATTGCCGTTGAAGGAAAATTATGTATTCCAATCTGGTGGTTGCCACCTTAAACAATTTAAGTATTTTCTTAACATGCAATTTACTTTATTCTTTTTGATATTTCTCAATCATCAGATTTAGGGGTGCCAAACTAACCACCGTACTTCAAACATTTACATTCTTTCTTAATACGTATGTTTCTTTATTCCTTTTGTTATATTTTTCAATCAACAGATTTGGTCTGTCAATCTGGACCTGGATACTGGCCGTCATATGTTTATGCTCAGTCAGCTATGTATCCGATGGCAAACAGTGCAGCTCAGGTTTTACTTCACCCCTTGTTTATTTAGTGTGTATAGTTTTAAATATTGTTATTGTTAGGTATGAAGAATTGTGTTGGTATTATAGGGAATAGTGTTTTGTATGTTTGAATTGTTACTTTTATTGTTTATGTGTACGTGACTTTTATTAAATGATCTTTATTTGTTAATATTTTTAGGGAACGGTGCCACTTGTTTTTGGCTCAGAAGAACAAAACCTGAAAATTTTCTATTTTCATTCACAAGGGCTATACATATTTATGGAGAAATACAAATCTTCTAAATAAGTCTTGAATAGTACAAATTTCTTAAATAAGGTGTAACATCCCTTTTCAAACTCAAAGTAGGATCATAGTAACCAATTCGTGGTTATGCAAGAGATCACGAAATAAGACTGGGAATTGGTGAAGATATCAGTGAGTTGATGAATATAAATTTTGGATCAAGACTCTCCACAAAGTCAAGTTAACAATATCATCAAGTACAAAACCATCTATAGGGTTAGATCAGAAATTATCAGTGTAACACCACGGCCGGCTCAAACCAGAGCGTCACCGCCACGCCACACCGGAAGGCTCGTCCATCAACCAACGAGTCCTACGTTGTGGCGCTAAGGCTAAAATAATAAATACCAACAACTAATAGGAACTTAAAATTAAAGCACACCGGCTTATCAATTAAGTAAATAAAGTTCAATTCAAAAGCATAAATTGGAAATAGTTCAAAAGGTATTAGTCTTTAAACATGATTAATGAATTTCAAAAGTATCTTAGAAGGTAAAGTAGTTCTAGTTTCCCCCGATGCATCATATGACGTGAATGCATCACTTAGATATAACGGAAGCATGATCACCTACAAAAAGATTGTAAGAAGAGGGTCAACACAACGGTTGAGTAAGCGCAATTAATCGAAAATAATTTAATACAGTATAATGCCACAAAATCATTTGGAGAAGATAATTGAATAAAATGACACGTATCACATAAGGGGAACTCACACACACACGAGTCTTTTAGCGCCTTCCTTATATCCCCTTTTCATTCTCAAATAATAGTGATGAGCACATCACGAAGAAAACTCCACTAGGCCTTAATCAGGGCCGGCTCGACCTGGTTTTCCAACCTTATTACTTCGTATGACACATCACATAGTTTCACATAACAACCATAGGGTCACAACCCTCAAGGAAAACTCCACAATGTGTACATAAGGGTTCAAAATCCAAAGTACACGTAAATCAATTTATTATTAGTTTCCGAGGGCGCCATACGGCCCACAACCCTCTAGTCTCCAATATAACATACCAAGAGGGGATTGTACGCAATCCATCCCTCCATCACGGATGACGGTCTAAAGACCTTTTCATCGTGAATGACGAGGACCTTGGAATCACCCAAAAAGGGAACTGCCATCTCGATCCCTCGACCTAGCCCATTCGGGATTTAGTTTAAAGTTAGCTAGTTATCATAAAATACCGGTATACCCTCACGTGTTTGCAAAGCACAGAGGTGGAAGGCTATGCCTTATCATCCACACAATCGACGAGTTGATCGGACTCAACGGATAGTTTCAATTACCAATTTGACCAAATACTCAACATGCTCTTAGGCAAATTTCAAAAATAGTGTTTTAAACTCAAAATATTTCAACTGTCAACATTTAACCATATGCAAAAGTAGGATATTAGACCCAACAAGTTCGTTATAATTTCACTTTATTTCGCCAAATAAACATTCGAAAAATTTGTCAATCACAATAGGCATGGTCTAATTCCAAAAATCATAATATTTAAATATAATCGTAAATTTTTTTCCAAAAACCATAACTAGGTTAGGGCAAAACTAGGATTTCAAACCCAATCCATAAATTCTACGATTTTCAATTTAAAATCCAATAATAATCTTCACATAAGCATTATAATCAATTTTCTAAAATAAATTGGCAAAACGTAACACTTTTAGGGCAAACTCATTTGACAAAAATATAAAAAAAAGATATCAATAAAAAGGAGTTTAGGGATTAGAACATATCAATCTACTTGAGATTAATCCCACTTACTTTCCACTCACTTTAAGAGAATAAACTAAAATGAGAGTTTTGGAGAAGAAGAATTCCAAGAAAGAGCAGAGGGCTGGTGGCGGCGCTGCCGGCGTTATTTTAATTTATTTTATATTTTATTAAATATAAAATACTTAGGTCTTTATTAATTATTTTACCCTACTTTGACCCAAACTCAATTTTTACCCCTAATTTAAATCGAACTCTTTAATTTATTACACTAAAAGTCCAAAATAAATTAGACCCAAATAAAATTTGTCTGACTCCGGCAAACTTCCGACAATTATTCTACGGGGTATTACAATCAGACACAAAATCTTCTATTGAGTCATATACAGTAATTATCAGGTAGAAAACACTTCATAGGGTCATAGCAGAAATGATCATATACAGAAACTCCTACAAGGTCATAGCAGATATTATCAAATACAAAATCCTCTACAGGGTCATAGCATAAGTTATCAAATACAAAATCCTCTATAGGATCATAAGTGAAATTAGAAAATATAGAATCCTCTACAGGGTTATAGTAGAATTTATCGTATACAAAACTTTCCATGGGGTTATAACATATATCACTAGACATAGAACCTATTGGTGCCCAAATAGTTTTTTTGTTTTGTTTTCTTAAGGCTATCTCCAACAGAAGTGAATTTCTGCTATATTTGTAGGACTTCTACCACAAACTCTTCTCCAATGCACCATGCACTTTTGCACATGTGTTCCTCCCAACTGGGAGGGTGCATTTTTTTATTTTTGTTTTATTTTTAATTATACAATAATTTTAATTTATTGGTAGATTATGTTTTTATTCTATTTATGTTATTTTATTTTATTTCTTTTGTAAATTTTGTTTTTTTATTGTTGATAAATAATTTATTGTTTTGTGAAATAATTTTAAGGAATATGTTTTTTATGTGAAGTATATGGAATTGTATATATAAAATAAAAATAATGAATGTATGTAATATATTAATTTTTTTGAAAAAATGTGTAGGAAAAAAAGAACACCCTTATGTTTTAGTTTTGTAATTGATATTTATACTAAATTATATATTTATTGATGTTTACTTTTTATTGATATTTATAGTTAATTAGTTATATATAATTATGATAACTCGTTATAAATTAATTAATCATTAAATTGATATAATATTTAAAATATTAATAAAGAAATTTTTAATAAAATATATATGTAAAAATATACAGTGTTGGATATTAGTTGTAATTTTTAAAATTTATATAAAACTTAGGTGTGTTTACTTGTTAGATTTTGGTTTTAAATAATAAAATTTTGAATTAAAATAGTTGTTTGATATAATATAAATATGTATTAATGTGATATTTTGACACTAAAATTAAATAAATTTTACTGTAATATAATAAATAAAAAATAAATATTTGATTTGATATTTTTTTTAAGAAAAAAATTAAAATAGTAAAATCATTCTAAACACACCCATATATATGAGTATATATGGAATATTATTTAACCTTGCAAAAATAGAAGTTATGATTGGAGATAGTCAAAACTCAAAACAATGGCCCAATAAAATTCTAATAACATGACCCCACACAATAATGACTCAACCCACAAATTAATTCCCTACCCAAATTAACTTGGATGGAGGGAAGCTGGAGCAAACAGGAAGTGACAGCATAGGTGGAGATTGGAGTAGCGGCAGAGCGACACAGCGAAGAGGATTTGTTGTGGCAAAGGGGCGACATAAACAAGGTCTGATTGGATAAGATAACACACTAGACTTTGGAGAAGATGATACCGGTGATGGAGATGATGATGGTGAAATAGAATGGGATCACAAGGATTACAGGGGGAGGTTTTGGCTTTGATACCATATATTAATTTTAGCAAAATTGATATTTTCGTCCATAATATAAGGCTCGGCTCGTATCATAATTACAAGATATATAAATATATATTCCAAATATAGAAGTGACTATCTCTTGTCATTCTGAAAGAAAAGTTGGCTGTTGCATTATCCACTGTACTTTACGAAATAATGTTGCTTATCCAATCATAAATTCTTTTTTATTCAGCTCTAACTTTGCCAAATCACTATTGATCTAATTGCAGGATGTTTTTGGTGTTATTCCTGGTGATACTGACTACAGGATATTTGCTACTGATTATGGTGACATTCCTGGATTGGATATTATCTTCCTGCTTGGGGGTTATTATTATCACACCTCATCTGATACAGTGGAAAGACTATTGTATGCATCCTCTGCTATTTTGGTACAATTGACTAGATTTGCATTTTATTATGGTCCTTGCTTTAAACTGCACATGAATTCCTTCTATTAGACCTGGTAGCGTACAAGCCCGTGGGGACAATTTGTTTAGTTTAATGAAGGCATTTGCAAATTCTTCCGAACTATTAAATTCTCAAGAGCGAGAATCAAGATCTGCTGCCGTTGTATCTAAAGGCGAAAGACCAGTTTTCTTTGATTACTTGTCACTGTTCTTGGTAAGCCACAATCCATGTTTTATGATTTTGCTTGGCTAGTAATTCTGTAAGTCAATCAGAACCTTTATAACAATGGAAGAACAAATGAAGCACTCATTTTTTATTTTTTTTATTCCTTTTTTCCTTCTTCTACAATTAAATTTACTTAGGTCTTCTACTCAAGAAGGCAAGCTTTGGTGTTTCATAGTATTCCATTTGCCATCTTCCTCTTCATGCCCCTATTGCTGTGCTTGCGAGCTCGAAGTTTGTTCTATTCCTTCAATTTGTATTATGACATCATAAAAGGTAATAATTATAAAGTTAAACTAGGGGATTTGTTGTTGCCTTCTGTCCCATGGCCATTCTAAATACCATTGTTTTATGTTTTCATTAAAGCAATCACTTACTATGATGCAGGGATACTGTACCATGCCAGTGGGATTATACTTGCTATTGTTTTTCCCGTATCTTTTGCAATCTTGCGTTTGGTGTTCTCTGTACATTCTATGCACTGGTTTGTGTTCAGTTCTATGACATTGCCTTTTCTCAGTTTCTTTTTCTCACTTTCATAATGTACCTATCCACATTCTTTTCTGCTTGCTGTCACAAATTCTCCCTTTTCGAAGTCATTACTAACTTTTTCGTACTGCTTTTTGTCTGTATGGATACCCTTTTATATATGTAGCTAGAAATAGCAATTAACTATGCTTATCCCCCCACTTGCTATAGGTTTGCCAATAAATATTTGGCATTTCTTATGTTTGTGCCATGCTCACTTGTTGGTCTGTTGGTTCCAAGAATTCTTTGGAAACACTTTGCTCTGTCCCAGGATCTTTCAGTTCTTGCACTCTCGCGGGAGGTGATTTCTCTCTCTCTTCCTTCTCTTTTTGCATTTTTGTTCTTTTAAGTCTTTGTATCAGCTTTATGGTGATCTCTTCTCTTGAAATTGTGTTGATTAAGAACTCCTGAAGATGCTTCTATGAAACCCCCATACCTACTCAGGATACCTACTTACATGTTCTCTATGGGTCATTCTAATATTAACTTGTCTGGTTTTTTTTTTTTCCTGGACAATTTTGTAGTAGCTTTATGGATGTATAATGGTGATCAAAATATGTCTTTCTAGCTTTTATTCTCTTAACTAAAAATGAAAGATAGTGGAAATTGCAATGCATAGATGTATATATCTGTATCTATGGCGCTGTGCCTCCCGATGAATTGATGATTTGATACTTCAACTTAATGTCAACTTATATTTGGAAAATAAATGTGTTCCACAGGAATTGGATGATCATGCAAGGTTTTGGGGAGCTTTTGGATTCTACTCTCTTTTGACATTGGTGTGTGGAATTTTTATCATTCTTTATCTAACTCTAAAAAGTATCTATATGGTTGAGTCACAGGCATACAGTTCCATTTCCTGTTTAATTGCGTTTGTTGTTTTCAGACTTAGGGTGTGTTCTTGTCTGTTATTGTTTTTATTTGTGTTTTTGGTTTTGATATTTTGTAGGTGAAATAGTGATAGGAACGAGATAAATAGATAAGAAAATCAAATGGAATAAACCATTTGCCCAAAAACGTTCAGGCTACTTTATTTCCAAGATTAAAAATAATCCCTCAAACGCTAGTTACTTTTCATTAAATACTATCATATCTACGTCGCCGTTTCTATACGTCTCATATCTCATGTAATTTTCTTTTTCTTTTGGGAAAAGATTATACACTTTAATCCATAAGACACACTAATTTGACTGGATTTCTAAATGCAGGCATATCTGATATCTGGGCTGAGTGGGGGTTTTATGACATTCATTGTTTCAATATCTATGCTTATCGCATGGGTTTTCTTTCGAGTATCATACATGTATTTTGGTTGTCATCCTCTCAGGTTAGTCTGAATAACTCCCTGACAAAAGTTTAGAATTGATTTTGTTTCAAATGCATGTCTTATCATCTACAAAGATGTTGTTGAAGGTAGTCTACTTGCTTGTGCATGATCAAAATCTTGTTATATTAACGCCTTTCAATTTACGACGTGTTTCTGTTTAATCATTTGAAGATGTTTCCCTCAGGTCAACAGCATTTTATGTGGTTCCTTTGGTGCCTTGCCTTGTGTATTCAGTTTACTTTGGAGGATTTTTTGCTGTTTTTGTGATTGAGAAAATGGGCATGACGGGTTCACACCCACCTCCTTATGGTTAGTGACAAACTATTATCTGTGTGACTAGGTGGTGTGTTATTTTGGAGTTTGGTTTTGGCTTTTGGTTTGAATAGTGTTTTGGATATGATGTTTTGTGAGAGTAAATGATGTATTTTTAATAGAATTCTAATGGTTGTTTAGTAAAGAAATTGAAACCAAACTCTACAAGAACTAAAAAAATCCACAGGCTTCAAATTTATCTCTATATTTTCACTTTTCCCATCTTAACTGGTGCACAATTGAAGTCATAATTATACCTTAACTATTATATGATTACATGATCGTATCTGCAAAACTGAATTTAAAACAAGAGAAATCCATGTATCTGAGCTGTAGTTACCCATAACATATTATTCTTAAAGCATTCAGTGCAAGACACTGTGAAGGCACATGTAAACACAAGAATTTTTTGCTTGCCAGACAAGGGAACTGATGAGGGACCTCAGTGAGGTGAATATAATGCATCAGTCGCTTGCCTATCAGTTTATTCAACATAAAGCATTTATCATCTGGAATTCTTATAAGAATGTCATAATGTCTTGTGTTTATCAATAGAGATTTATGGTTCTTGTTTATCAGATAGTTTTAGTCTGCCTCCATATAAACTAATTTGGAATAAACTAAATTTTGATAAGCTGCATTTTGTATGATTTTTTTTTTGAAAAAAAAAAAATTAAATATTATTATTATTATTATTATTATTATTTTAGGAGCAATATATTTTGAAGCAAATATGCATGTCGAAAGAAATAAATGAAATAACTTAGATACGAGAATCTCTTACTGTCATAACAGTATATTCCTTAGCCGAAAGATTGAAACTATTAAGGGTGGGTTTGTTTGGGGTTTGGTTAGGATTTGAATTGTAAAAATTTTAAATTGAAATAGTTGTATGATGTGATAAAATATATGATGTTTTGAATGTAAAATTAATTTTTAGTATAATATAAAAAATAAAAAATAGATGTTTGACTTATGTTTTTGGAGAATTTTTTTTTTTTATGAATAGTGAAAATTGGTTGAAATTCTTGGAATGAACACACACCCAAATTGTATTCTAATTTCTCACGATTCATCTTGAATAAAGCATACTACTATTTTACAAGGAAAAGACATCTTAACTTTAGGACTTCTACTAAACGTAAAAACGTAACTTATTAGGATTTCAATTAAACTGTGAATCTGTGTACTTGATTAGATAAGGTTCATGTGTCATTTAGCACATGGAAGTAAACACATCCTTATAATTATAGACTTTTACGTCCTACCAACTTGCTTTGTATCATTAAATAAGTCTCAGCCATAATACTTAATTAGCATTTTGTGATCTTAAGTTGTTACAATATTATAATTGTGCTTATTGTCAAAGAATAGCTGAGTTACAATGTTGTTGAGATATTTTAGATATGGTCATATCCATTAGATTATATTATTTAGATTTGAGTCTATCGAGTTTGTTTTTTGGTTGCCTATATATAGGCCCCTTATTTTGATTATCAAAAAAGGCAAGCTTTAGAGTTTCCGCAAAATATTTTAACACTTATGATTACTAAGTATATCTTGTACTTATTGGGTAAATTAAAAAAAATAAATCCCAAGTGTGCTAAAGGTGATTATTCACTATTCTCACACCAGAGATCGTTTGCAGGGTATTTTGTACCTGATGTAATAGTTGCTGCAGTTGTTGGCTTAGTTACTGGGTGGTGCTTTGGTCCTCTTTTACCTGTAGTTGGGAAATGGCTGGCACAATCATCAATTATTCGTTTTCTGTTGCATGGGATTGTTCTTGCCTTGGCTTTATCATCACAAGTCTTTCCATACAGCAATGATGCACCAAAAAGAATTGTTCTCCAGCATACTGTTCAGACTAAAGGTATTAAGCAATTAATTGCAGACTTAACTGTGTAAATTGGTTGACTATTTCTTTTGTCTATATGATCTCTGATTTTTGGAGCAGTAGCTTTAGATTTTTACACTCTTGTATAACTGGTCAGGATCTTGTCACTACTGTAGAAGCAACGCACTGAATGACACTAAGCAGTTGCACTAAAATCTTGATAAACATCTGAGTACTTACCACGCTTGGGTGACTGCCTGCAAGATGTTCATTAGTTAATTCTAAAATGGTATAAGGGTATTTGTGTTAGTGGATTAACTATTCCATAAGAGCTGTGAGGATTCATGTTTGAATCTCTATCACCACCCATTCATGTATGATAAGTTCCGTGTGCAAATGGTTGCGAAGGGAACATGCATGCAAAGGGTGTGATGGAATGGTTATATAAACTGATAGCACTTTGTAACTGTGAGATACAGAAAAGGATGATTTATTATAACAATACAAATGAGGTTGCACATATATGTATGTACAATTAGGAGCCTACCCAATCTATTCAAACCAATAAAATTTAACCAACAAACTATAATAATCGTAACTAACTCTATTATGATTTGACTCTATCCAGACTATATCTCTATTTAAAAATGTATATTATGTTAATTATAGTGAACACTCCACCTCCTCAAGCTGGAGCATATATATTTGTCATATCTAACTTGCTACAAATATGATTGATTCATACTCCATTTATTGCTGCAAAAACATCTCCGAGTAGATCATCGGACTTGACATATTTGGCAGAGGTGTATTCTTTTTGGGTTTTATTTTGTCACAGAAAAAGTGATAATCGATTTCAATATGCTTTGTGCATTAATATATTGAATTGGAAATAATATGTAAGGCAGTCTAGTTGTCACACTTTAGCTTTGTTGGAAGATTAATTTTGTGGCTGATCTCTTTCAGACAAATAGAGTCTGTCTTGGCTCTATATTCAACTTTGGCAGAAGATCTTGAACCCAAAATTTGTTTCTAGTTTCTCCAATATGTAAGATTTCCGCCCTACAAAAATACAGAATCCTGAAGTGGACTGTCTATCATCCTTACACCCAACATAGTCTGCATTGGTTTGTACCTAGGGACCGTGGTTGATAAAGCAAGCCTCAACCAGGTGCTTCTTTCAAATACCTTAGGATTTGCTGTAATAGGGTCCAATGATGTAGTTGTAACTTGTAAGTGAATTACGATTCATACAATAAGACAACAAACTTTCCTATACTCCCCTTCAGCAAGAAAGCTAGGCGGGTGCTCAATATATACATTTTAATGAAGATAGCTATAGAGAAAGGCCTTCTTAATATCTAACTAGGCCAATCATAAGTAGCTGCTAGAGATATGAGAATACACTCGATCATCTGAAACAACAGAGGCAAAGGAATATGTGCTCATAGTTTACCTTTACAAAGAGCACTAGGGAGATCAAGAGATGACTGAGCAGAACATGTGGCTAGAAGTGGAAGATTATCCGTTGAAGTAGCTAGTGAAGAATGTGAATCCACAATGGCTATATTAGGACAATGGCGCCGGTTAGAATAGAGTTGAATACTCAAGATATGGGTGGGACCAAAGGAGGAGAAGCAGAGATGCCACAAAACATCTCAATCACAGGGTAAAGGAAATGATCAGGTTCATCTGTGATGTTGTAGGGAGCAGAGATAAGGAAAAAGGTAAGATGTGCATGAAAAGTGACATAACGGAAACAATATAATGATTCATACAGTGAGGGTGTGTTTGTTTGAGGGTTTGGATTTTGGGTTGGGATTTGAATAGTAAAAATTTTGAATTTGAATAGTTGTATGATGTGATATAAATAAGAATTGATGTAATGTTTTGAATGTAAAATTGATTTTTAGTATAATATAAAAAATGAAAAATAAATGTTTGATTTGATATTTTTGGAGGAAAAATTTTGTGGGAATAGTAGAAATCCCACAAAATCTCCCAAACAAACACATCCTAAGTGTATTTGTTCTTTACATACGGAGGGAGTATTAGATAATAAAATAGATTATTAGTATAATAAAATGAGTGTTATGTTTGGTGAACTATCTAATACTTATGAGATACTGGATTGAAATCTTATTCATTTTTACAGTTCTTCTACTAGGGAATTGTTATTATTCCTGATTTTTATCATTGGTTGTCGAGAACATGTATTTTATGAACACTTATAACATGCATTAAACTATTCATTTGGCAGGTGCTAATCAGATATCAAATGCTAGTTTTGATTTTGCGGTGACTGATTCAAACTCACTGATGTTTGTTTTCAAACACGCACCTGTGGTGGTGAAGGAACTGCACGGTAATCAAGAATTAAGTTTTCACAGTGTTAATGAATCAAGATTGGATACATGGAAGGTACTTTATGCAGTTCCTTTGTCCCTTCTTAAAGTGGGTGAGGTTTTATATTCTTCTTATGGCATGTTTAGTTTATTGGACGGACCTAACTGATTATTTTGAATGATATTTTTATTCTACTTTGCCGAATTTGATTGTGATGTGATTCGATGCCAACACCCTGAGCCCAAGACATGTTTAGCTCATTTAGCTTATCAAATGAGCTTTTATGGATTTTCAATGAGTTGAACTAAGATGAGCTTGTACACATATCATTTGTTTTACAGCTTTAATTAGATGAGCTTTTCAGTGAAGTTGCTTCTGAATCCACTTTAATATATTTGACTGCTTCAAGTTTTCAACTTGCAGGGAATTTTTCCAATATCTAATTTGTTCTCGGGAAGCTTGAAGTTTCCTGCAAATACTGAGGATATATTGAAGCAATTCAAATATTTTCCTTATTTATCAACTGATGAAGACCAGGTCCCAGTTGCTGGTAGATTTCGAAGAGTCAACTTGGAACTATCAATGGGGTAAATTGTAAACAAATGAATTCACTGTTGGCAATAAAATATGATCATTTTACTATGTGTGATGCATGCTACATTTTTTGTCGGGACTTGGATACGTTATAAATGTGTACCTAACAATTGTATTTGTCTTCTAAGTTTGATTGATGTCACATGCTTTTGATTCCACAGTACGTTGAAGGAGGTTTGGGTTGCAGTCCTTAACATTACAGGTCCATTGTCGAATTGGTCATTTGCAAGCAATATGGTCCCAGGTTATTTGAATTGCTTTGGTCTAATTTCTGCCATGGTATTTCTGCTTGACATTTGCTAAATATGAATCGCTCAATTCTGAAACAGCTCCAGTAAGAGTTGGGCAAGGGCCACCATCATACATATGCAGGCTGAGTGGTGCTGGTCATGAGAATTGGAAATTCTGGTTGGAGGTAAAACAATCTAAAATTTCTGGGCAGTGTGAGGTCGTGGCTTGCCATTACAATAGTTATCTTGTTATATTAACAATTTGGACGATGCATGCAATGCAGGCCAACAGTTCGAAGCCATTGAGGGTTGATGTTGCTGTGGTGGACCTACATTTAACAGAGTTGGCCCTTAAGTTGAAAGGCCTCTTTCCAAGTTGGATGGATGTCACTGCCTACACTAGTTTTTTATCTTCCTACAGTGTCTAACTAGCGACTACTTGAACGGCTTCACAATTTCCTTTTGTGTTATTCTAAATTATAACAGGTAACGACCTTCTCCTCCACCCAGTATCGATCTTTTTTTATAACTTGGCTTTCTTCTCATAGAATTTTAAATGAAATTTGCGTGTGGAAAACAACCTGGTCGCTTCAGTTCGATCTTTATTTCTTGTTTTACTAGGAGTTTGTGTGAACTCCACCGTGTATTGTTTAACAGGTACTGTTCCGAATGCATTAGAATATATGATCAGGTTGATATATGAAGACAGCATGCCTCTGGAACAATAGTGAGATAATGAGATTACTTTCACTCTCAGCATGAGAACAGGTGTCAACGATTGTTAGTGCTGGCGAAAATAAAAGACATGAGACGTCACATAGCTAGACTTACCTAAACGGTTTGACACGTCAATTTCGAAGTGTTGAAAAATCAAGTCAAAATCATTTAGTATTATTATTATTTTTGTTTTTTTTATTTTTCACAATTTCAATCTTTTCTATTCTTAATATGTTAGGAAGAATATTTGTTTTATTTATTGATTTGATATGAATGATAAGATTGTGAAAAATCTTTTTTAAAGGTTTATAAACCGAAATTATTGAAATAATAATTTAGAAAGTTCGGTTTTAATTTTATTTTTTGACAGATCAAAATTAATAATTCAATTGATACGGGATACAAAATTATTATGGGACATAATATTTATAATCAAAATTATTATTGTTTTTAGAAAAAATATAATAATATTCATAAAAATTATCTTAATATTTGTTATGTATATAAATAAGTAATAATATTTTTAATAATATAATATTAAAGTGTTTCTGTTCAAATCTAATAAATTAATTAATGCAACCTACAACTATAACATAAAAAAATAATGAATGTAAATAAGGTATTAATATTTTTGAGAAAATATAGGGAGAAAGAAAATTAAAAAGAACAAACCAACTATTTTTAATAATATAATAATTTTATATTAATCATATTTGTATTAATATATTTATAAAATTAAATTGAAATGATTTTTTATGTAATATTAAATCAATATTTTAATTGTGTACTCCATTATTAATCATATAATTTATTATATAATATTTATAATAAAAATTACCTCAAAAAAAAAATTCAAAAATCTGACTATCTCTGTCATTGAATTGGGCCCCGCCGTTCATACGTAACTCACATAAATAATGGGCTGCAGATATTTTATTTTCTTTCAAGAACTAATAATCAGAGCCCATTCGACCACCTACAGCCTACAGGGCTTCTCCAATTCCTAGTTCCCATGGGTACTTCAGTCCGGCGCGGGTGATTGCTCTGCTTCTGCCTCTGTTAATATGTTTTAATAGGTGAAATACTCGAATCACCCCGATAGCGGTACCAAACGTAGGGTCTTGACTTTTTAGATCTTCAATGCCTCTGTTACTCTGATCATGCCTTCCGTTCCATAGTCGTAGCTCTCCATTCGTTGAAGAGAAATGCATTCACTGTTTGTGTTTTGTGTTTGTTAAAGCCTGGAAGACCAAGGATCACAATCCAAGAGTTCAGTTCAAGGTATTTGTCTGTACGATATATATATTTTTAATGTGAACTTACGAAGGAATATATTTTTAAGCTGTTTTTCTAATCTGTTTATCCAGTTTTTGTTTTATTTGTGTTCACAATAGCTTTCCATTCACATTTTGTATGCCCTATAATTCTTTTCTATACCCTTATGACAATCGAAGAGGCCATTCAGCGCTGTTACTTGTTATGGAATATTTTCACTTGATCTCTGTGAGCCTGTCTGAATATTCAACGCATTTGAGACGTTCCCTCTTTGAAGGTATTATATTAACACTACTGGTGCCAAGTTGCAAACAATTTTCTCCTACCGTTTTACGGGACCTGCTTCGGGTATTCTTCTTCCACGGCTTCGTCGGAGGCTTGGTAAGTTCAAACATTGCCCTAATTTTGAATTGTTTGTTGTTCTTCAAGTTCATTGCCTGCTGTTACAGTATTTAGGGTTTTAATTGTTTGATTGTTATCAATTTTATCTGTGATTCTTTTTATGAATATTTAGGGTTAGAAGTGTTTGCTATTATTAATTTCAATGCCGATTATTTGCAGTTATGTTATGGTTAGAAGGATATGATGTCTTGGATTCATTTCACTATGTGTAAGGAATCCTGTTAGATCTAAGGACCTGTGTGTTACTTGACTTCATGAATTGTAGTACATAAAATTCGTTTTATAAGATTGTAAGTATTATCTTGTTTGGTGCTTGGCATTTCATTAAAAAGTGCTTTGTTATCCAAACTGCAGTTTTTTCCATTTCAATGATTAAATGTCTTGTTGATCTATCGTTAAAGTTGGAGTTCATAACTAGATCTCTGCATTCCTTGTGAACATAATGATCTTCACTTTTGCTGCTTTTGTGCCATCTCTTACGGTGAGTGCAGCAGTTTCTTCGTTTGTAGACATTGCTTTGTACCATGTCTGTAACTTTATTATACGCAATTGCTTTTGAACTCTTTGTAGACATTGCTTTGTATCATATATAATTTTCTATACGATGTACAGAAAATATTGTTAATTTTAATAAAATTTCTAATACTGCTAAAAAGCTCATGGGTTGGCCAAGCAAATTTTAGCCTGCCCTTGCAGTGGCCAACCCGCTCAAACCCACCAGTTGGTGGACTGTGGGCAAGCATGTCCTACCACTCTGTCCCAACACCTTAACTCTATTTTTCTCACACGTGCCTAGGTCATCAAACATATGCATGTCACTCAAAATTGCTTGTACATATCTTACGTTTCTTTTCAATATCATATGTATGAATTGCTCATTGGATATGCAACTTATGAAGCTAGTGAATTGCTCATTCTCTTTTTAAATGAGATTTTTTATTTTTATAATTCTTATAGGTGGTTTCTTCTTAAACGCCTGGGATCACTTTTATTGTTTTGGAGTTATTTAATAAGAAGACATTGAATTGGTTTCTCCATTCCCGAAACAAAAGAGAATGAAGATATCATATTTTCCGAATCGCTATGTGATTGTCATTTTGACCTTCATTTGCACATGCGTTTGCTACATAGAACGGGTGGGATTCTCTATTGCATATACTGCTGCTGCGGATGCAGCAGGAATAAATCAGTCAAGCAAGGGCATGATACTTTCTACTTTCTATTATGGGTATGCCTGCTCACAAGTTCCTGGTGGTTGGGCAGCCCAAAAAATTGGAGGAAGGCGTGTTCTCCTACTCTCATTTGTTTTGTGGTCTCTGACTTGTTCTTTTATACCGTTAGATCCTAATCGAGTTACAATTTTGGTAATAGCTCGCTTGCTTGTTGGAGTGGCTCAGGGCTTCATCTTTCCATCTATTCACACTGTCCTAGCACAGTGGGTGCCACCACATGAACGGTCAAGATCTGTTTCTCTCACAACGTCAGGTATGTATTTTGGTGCTGCTGTAGGAACGCTTTTGCTTCCTAGCCTGGTTACATTTCGGGGCCCACAATCAGTGTTTCTTACTGAAGCTGCTTTAGGTGCTTTGTGGTCTCTATTATGGTACAAATATGCCAGTGACCCACCTCGTTCTGATAATCCCAAGGCCACAGCAGCTGGCTTTGGTGATTCCTTGCTCCCAATCGAGGGCAATGAAAGGAGAAAAGCAGCAAATGGAGTATACTCCATACGAACACCAAAAATTCCATGGAAGAGAATTGTATTGAGTTCGCCTATCTGGGCGATAGTCATAAATAATTTTACATTCCACTATGGTCTTTATGTCCTCATGAATTGGCTTCCGACATACTTTGAATTAGGCCTCCAGCACAGCCTTCAGGAAATGGGTTCATCCAAGATGATACCTTACCTCAACATGTTTATATTTTCAAATATTGGTGGGGTGATTGCCGATCACTTGATCACCCAGAGGATTTTGTCTGTAACTATAACAAGAAAGCTTCTAAATACTGTGGGATTCATTGTGGCCTCTTTTGCCCTGATGGCACTCCCATTGTTCACATCAGCTGATGGAGTTGTGTTTTGTTCTTCTGTCGCCCTTGGTTTCCTGGCACTTGGGAGGGCTGGTTTTGCAGTAAATCATATGGATGTTGCTCCAAGATATGCAGGAATCATTATGGGGGTTTCCAATACAGCTGGTACCTTGGCTGGAATAGTTGGGGTTGATCTCACTGGCCGCCTTCTTGAAGCAGGTAAGGCTGCCCAGTTGGATCTCACTAATCCGGATAGCTGGAGAGCAGTTTTCTTCATCCCAGGTTCACTCTGTATCCTCAGTTCACTTGTTTTTCTTCTACTGTCCACAGGGGAAAGGATATTTGACTGACTCTTTTGTTTGTTGGAAGTTTAAAGAACATATATATATATATATTAACTCTCTTCTTTCTGCTGCCTAAATTGTAACATTCAAGTCATACCCATTTCAGAAACTCAAAACTTTCTGCTTCCTAAATTGTAACACTGAAGCCATACTCATTTTGCATTATTTATTTTGTCATCACAAGACATTCATATTAATTTGGCCGGAATTGTAAAAGGCAACGCGCCATACCCATTGTTGTGGTTACACTGAAGTATTTACTTTGCAATTTGTGCTTGAAGCTGATTGTTATCTTTTAAAGGGTGTAATTTAAGGTCATAATAGAATGCTAGTATTTTGAACTAGCAAGCCTAGGAAGGCTTGATTGAGCTCGCTCATGGCTGTTGCTTCTCAGTCTTACTTGCTGCTGAACAAGTTTTGAACTAGACCCCTTTGCATCAGTTTTCTGGTATCCCATAAAATCTTGATTTTGAGGAGAAGAATGTGGATTGGCTGTTGGTTTTTTACCACTGTTCTGTTCCTGAATGCAAATAGAGATTGGCTTACTTTGGCTGAACATCATCTGCTGAATGGTAGAATGGATATGCTTGCTGCCCAACTACAAATTCCTCCAAAAATCTTCTTACCGCTCATGAAGTATCGTATATGGTATATGATTTTTTCTCTTTTTTTTTTTTAAAAAAAAAAAAAAAAAATTGTTATTTAAACTTCTTGAAATTTTGGCTGTCCAACTACAACTTCCTCGAACCACCATGTGTGTGCGGATGATGGATTGCTTATTTGAACAAAGATGCCAGTACTGGGGGCTAAATAACTCTTATAGTTTAAATATATGAAACAGTATATTACTCAATTACTATATATTTATACAGGGGTTTTTATGCATCTGAAATAACATATTAAAGCTGCTGTTCCAGTGAGTGGTGTATTTGGGTATTTTAAATAGATTGTTCATTTGTCTTATGCTTTCTCTTGTCACCTTGTATGTGGATCATTGACTTTATGTTGTAATTGTTGAAAATAATATTTGGTTGATATTGAATGTATCAATTAGATACGCCATTTACTGTACTGGAACATGTTGATTGTTGGAGGCTCTTATTTGAGTTGTTAAATAGAGTTTTTTTTATTGATCAACAGTTATTATCATTTTACCTGTATCTGATGATAATGCTGGCCACTTTAATTGTTGAATTAAGTGAATATGCTGGATTATGCATTATATGTTTTACTGATGTATTGTATAAACTGAAAATGCTGAATGCCGTCCTAACTTAATGCTGTTTCATTAATTAGAATGTGTTGGCTACCCTATTATGTGTTTCCGGTCTATTTATTGGAACGCACAGATTGAACATTGTGCTTTAGATGCAAAATTAAAATTTGATCCAATGCTGTTTATCGGTAGTTGGCTTTTCATTGTAATGTGATCGATGGTGATTGTGATAGTTCCGAAGTATTGGTATATGAATATCATATATATCATGCATATATATATGTGTGTATGTATGTATGTATATATTATGTATTTCCATGATGTTAGGTCAGATCAAAAGCCCATTCATAGTTTTTGGAACCCAGATCTGCCAAAGGTTGTGACCCCTTTGTTTTATTGGTGCACTGGAAGCAGTTGATTTGGAGTAGATTTTAACCATCCTTACTTGGAGAAATTGACGGACGGTCCAAAATTTATCAAGTTGATAAAAATCCTTCCTACTCTTCAAGCTCGAGGACGCAGTTACATCCCGTTTGGATTTGGCTGTCGCTCAACAGTAATAGAGCAAATACCTAGTTCTACAAAATTGTATAACCGTTTGTATTCACTAGATATTGATGATGAGCAAGCCTAGTTTTGTATGGTTTTGACGGGGTGGGTTTTGTTTTATTTATTTATTTCTTAGGGTGGGGGCTGGGGGGGGAGGGGGGTGGTGGGGTTGTTGGTTATTTTAAAAGCCAAGGAACTAAGATGTACAATAGAAGGTTTTAGAAAATAAGGATCATCCTTTGATGATGTGATAGTACTATATAAAAAAAATTAAAATAAAAAATTTGACAGAAAACAGGCTAAGAATGATTCTTGGACTTATCTTTTCTCCATGTAAGGAAAGAATGTATTTTTTTTTTGATAAATAAATATATTAATATAAATGATTGAATTGAATCCCAATCGACCAAGCTCGGGCGCAAATAAAATCTTGACTTGAAGATTGACTTCACTGGCTTCTTCCAAACTTCTTTGCACCATCAGCCTTTATTGAACTCCTTTTTGTATACCATATTTTGAAGACTTGGATAAAAATGTCTCTAAAATATGTGGGCAGGCCTCCATAAAGGGCTCATTTTATATATTCTAAAATAATCATACATTCTAGCAATTTTAGATAAAACTGTGTGTTGTTTGTTATATAAATTATGTTTTTATTTTTATTTTTATTTTTATTTTTCAAGATTTGAAATTAAAAAATGAATTCAAAAGAAAAGAGATGCATCTCTTGATCAAAAAAAATGTTAGAATTTAAAAATTAAATGGACATGATTTTTCAATGTGAAAATGTAGAAAAAAACACATTATATATGCATAAAATATGGTCTTTGAAGAATTCATTCTACAAAATAGTACTCTCTTTGTCCCAAATAAAGTGTAATATTTATTTTTGACAACGAGTTTTTAGATAAAATAGAAATTAAATATAATTAATTATTTTCTATTTTAAAAATATTGCATAGTTACGCGGTTACATTTTTTCCTGTATGGGGGAAGGTGATTTTATTGCTATTGCTAATAAAGATGAGCAGTACTACTTCTCTCTCCATCGGGGAAATCTACTAACATAAAAATTTTTATTTTTTAAATATATATATTTTTAATTGTTAGAGTACAGACAAAAAAAAATAAAAAAAATCAATTAAATTGGAACGAAAATAATATTTTAATATTAAATACAAATTATTTTTTTTGCAAACTCAGAAACGCACTCTAAGATTATCGGATTGATGTGCAGAAAGAGTCTCAGTTTACAAATGGTTTGTCTATTGAACTGAATTAGAATGAGAAGGTGACGCAACCCAAGGCGGCGGTTGTAACTACAGAGTAAAAAAAGAATTGAAACAAAATATGGCTGATAATAAATTTCAGGAAATGTCTCTCAAATCTAGGAGAAACCCTGCGACGCATTCCTTTTTCCATTTCTCTACTGCAAGAAGGAAGACAAGAGTGATCCCCATTCATCCATAACAGCAGCGGTAGCAATAAAAATAATAGTAACAGTAAAAATCTGGCAACAACCTGCCCTCCCTCGTGCTCTGCTCGTTCAGGATCCTCCTCCGACCTTATCAAGATTTTCAGACACAGTCTTCATCCTGGGTCGGATTTCTGGATCTCCCTCTGTGCACGCAAGTGCGATGTGAAATGCCGCCAGCACTTCCTTCTTGGCGTGCACCTCCTGGAGCAACACCGGGTCTACCATATCTGACAGCGGACTCTCCTCCTGGAACCCTTTCCTCACCCATCTTACCAGGTCTGGAAACAACTCTGTAGAGGAGGAGGAGGTTGAGCTGGTGGTGGGTGGAGATGAAACCTCCGGTGACTTCCCCGTCAGCAATTCTAGTAGGATGACCCCAAACGAGTATACATCCCACTTCTGGGTTGGTCGGCCGTCAGGGGTCCGAGCTTCCGGTGCCCGATAGCTGTTGTTTATTTTCTCCGGCTGAGGTGGCTTCATATATGGAAGGGCACCACCAATGAAGCCTCCGGACGAGCAGGGGTTGTTCCCTGTGATAGTGATGAGACGGTTGAGGCCAAAATCAGAGACGTATGGCCGGAAATCATTGTCAAGGAGAATGTTGGATGGCTTGACGTCTCCATGGACGAATTTCCTCGGGCTGCATTCGTGCAGGTAGGCCAAGCCCCTAGCCGTGCCCTTGGCGATCTTCAGTCTGATGGACCAAGAAAAGCTGGATGAAGAAGAAGGCTGGCTCTGGCTCTGGCTCTGGCTCGTCCTCCCTGCAATGCCATAACATAACACGCATTCATTTGAAGAATGTAATTACATCATGGATACACGTTCTTTCTGTGTTTCCTTCCCGTTCAGTATCGCATGGATGGGTCGACCGACTGATCAATGAGTTTTGAAGAGCCTAAGGACGTCAGTCAGTAGTCAGTTAGTGGGGGAACTACCCGTATATGTAGGTAGGTAGGTCATAGGTGTGCATTGCTGTGGAGGGGATCAACCGCCAACCACCGCCACCACCTAGGCCTAGCTAAAACCCCTAAAAAAGACGCACATGTGTTGATATCTAAACGTAGCCTTAATCTTTCCTTGATCAGTCCAGGTCGGGTGGATATCTAGCTGGTTTCTTATTCAGATATAAGAATGCCGCCAAACTTTCTACCAGTAAAATGCCATGTAGCAGATCACTGTGCGCAAAGAGAAGATCACCAAAAGCTTGAGCCAGCCACACACCTCACAATTAGTTCTCGAAGTCATGCTCGGGTCATACAACACATAATATATAGGTCAGACGGATGACGAAACTCAGGGCCTTCGCTCCCTCCCCTCTTCCACTCCACTGGAAGCAAACATACGATTGACTACTACCCATGCTTTTACCTACCTAGCTTTCTTAAATTTCAGTTTCCTTCTCTTCCCTTCCCTTCCCTACCCTTCATCACACTTGTTCCGAGATCCTCCTACTAGCTAGCAATCTCTATGAGAAATATGTGTACGAGTAAAAAGCAAATGAGTTGGTAAGGTCTTGTAGGGGAGAGGGGATCAAGAAATCTTCAGATAATTAAGCTGATTTCTAGCATCTCATTCTCATGAACTAATCAAGATAAAAATAGATATGTGTGTGTGTGTGTGTGTGAGAGAGAGAGAGAGAATATTATTAATCGGGGAGGCATTCTCACTCACCGCCGCGAAGAGCAGAAGCCAAATTTCCGTTGGATATGAAGTCACTGATGAGAAGCTTTTCATCGGGTGCCCAGTAGTACGCTCTCAGCTTCACAATGTTGGGATGCTTTATCCTCCCGATCGCCTGGACTTCTGCCACAAACTCCTTGTATCTCTGCTCCCCGCCTTCCCCCAGCCTCCTCACTGCCACTGGCACCCCATTCCCCAGCACCACTTTATACACTATGCCCAGACCACTCTTCCCCAACACATATGCCGAAGCCCTCAGCAATTCGTCCAACTCGAAGTTGAACCCCTTATCAATGGCTACCAAGTCCCCCTCCCCGGTGCCGGTGCCACTCGCTCTGCCACTCATCCCTCCCCCGGCACCCTTCTCCGACTCCTCCCCTTCCGAGGCGTCGTTGCTTGGAAAGCCATTGATGCAAGGAAATGGGCATAGGCCAACCTTCTCATTGCTTTTCCCTCCAAGCTTCCCCCTTCCAGTACAACTGCATCCATGGCCATGGGAGTCCTTTCTCTTCCAATACACATACACCGCCACCAATCCTATAAATGCCACTCCTACAGCATTTGCCACTGATATCAGTATTATCAGCCCTGGCTTCAGCCCCTTCTGCTCCTCGCTCACACCCTCCCCCCCGTCCCGGATACCCTTAGCGGGAGCACCTGGCGTATTCTTGCAAGACTTTTGCAGCGGAAAACCACACAAGTTTGGATTATTGACAAACGCAGTCGGGCCCTGATTGGCGAAGGACCCTGTCTGGGGAATCTCACCACTCAAATTATTATTCCTAAGATCGAAACTTACTGTGAGCGGCAACTCGCCCAAAGATTTCGGTATCGTCCCCGTGAAATGATTGAACGACAGATTCAAAGTCCCCGACAGTGACTTCAACTCTCCCATATCATCCGGAATCGAACCATTAAATTTGTTTGCAGATAAATCGAGCTGCTCTAAATTAGCAAGCTCAGGGAAGATCCCTTCGGGAATCTCGCCCGAGAACTGATTTCCACCAAGGATTAACCTCTGTAACTGCCTGCAATTGCGGAGAATCTTGGGCAGCGGACCCGAGAGAGAATTTCTCGAAATATCAAGATTTTGCAAGCGAGGGACGTTGCATAAAGAGGGAGGCAAAGAACCGGAGAGGTTGTTGCCATAAAGGAAAATGCTGTGCAATGAAGAAGCATTGAACAACTGATCAGGGATTGAACCATAAAAATTATTGCCATGAAAATTAAGTCGCCTGAGATAAATCAAGCTGCCAAGCTCTGATGGAATATAGCCCCGGAGATTCTGCCCGGCAACAGAAATTCCAACAACTCGAGGATCATCCGACCCGGAAATATTCATACACGAAATTCCGGTCCAGCGGCACGGCGTCGCGTCTTCCTCGTTCCAGTCCGAAAAAGCCTCACCGGCGCCGGAATCCACGGCGGATTTTATGGAGAGCAACGAGAGGCCGTCTGGAGTTAGTGAAATGCTCAAGTGAATTTCCAGGGAAAAGTTCAGTAGCAAAAGAAAAGCGGAGAAATGCAGGTTCCGGCCCAACATTGTACGGACTGCTGACAATTGTCTGCAAAACACACGAAATTATATATATCTTCCCCCGCCGGAAATAGGAGGAACTCAAAGAAACTGTAACAAATTAACAGCCAGCCCTCATCCTCACTGTGTAATGGGAGAACAGTTTCTGCAGAAAACGCAATCAAATGCAAAAGAATTGAAATTAAGGCGTCGTCCCTCAAATCAAATGAGAAGCAATTTGAAAAACTTATCTACTCTCCCTAAATCTGATCTCTCTGTAATTCTTTCTCGAGTTTCAGGGACTGTGATGGCTGAGGAGATAACAAGGGCGGCAAAAAAAAAAAAAAAAAAAATCAAGATTCCAATTTTATGAGTAGAAACACAGTATTCTCGGAAAAAAGGGGGAAGCGAAAGAAACCCTGTTTTGTTGGTCCGTCTGTCCGCTAGTGTGAGTGGTGAGGTGGAGATCGGAATGGGGGTAGGCGAGGGGGGTTGAGGAATTTATGAGAAAAGAGACGGGCTTATAGTACTCACCACTGGATGGATGGAGGCCTGTGGCTGTGGGGTGTGGGCCCGCGGAACGGGAGACTTGTAGTAGCATTTCGGGAGAGGAGGGAGAAGTAGAAGGCAAGTAAAGCAAGATGGCTTTTTAAGTGCTAAAGTGCTCATTTCAATTCAATTCATTTATGCTGCTGCGGCCTCGCCTGGCCTGCAAAGACGTTGGATCCATCCCTCCTCCTTTCTCTAGATTGGGTCTGCGGGTAATTTTGTTCACTCGCCACACTTACGCCATCAGTCAGGTTGATGTATTGATTGCGCACTGCAGTGTCGTTGCTGTTGGTTCCACAAACATTTCAATTAATATATGAGGAGGGCGATTCGCGATGGCAAAGCATGTATAGCTGCACGCGAAGGAGTGCCGTAGTCTAGATGTAACTTTGAACCTGATATCGAAAACTCCCCGTTGCAAACTACTCTCCCTCCCCGCGGTCCTTGTCGGCTTTAATTAATTACAATGATAATCGATGGATTTTGCTTTGAGATGAAGAAGCCCCATAATAGTTTGAGAGCACTTGGGACAATATCCGTTTCTAGCTGGCGGCGATGGAGTTCATGACACATATCTCAATTTTAGTGTATATATATACATATATAAAGAAAACAAAACCACAGAATATTTGTGAAAGAAGTGCAAGAAGGGAGTGTATATATGTATAATATATGCACACACAGATGATGGTGAAGTTGAGCGAGAACATAGGTAGTGGCTCAAGAGCACTAGTGGTCCGTAATGAAGAGGACAAGGTTTAAACGTCACGGATGGGGTGGGTCGAAGTAACGATGGAAGGGAAGCTCAACCCGAAGTGCATAGAGCTAGCTATGGACCGTGCGTGTGTGTGTGTAATAAGTGTGAGAGTGAAATGCTGTCTGTCCTGCCCATATGCGCGGCTGCTTTGAATGCCTGTGATCAGACAAGACGAGCAGGCACGTGTCCTACTTCTTAATTAGTGATTAAAAAATATAAGCAATGTTCATATATACAAACGATTTTGGATTCCAAGCTGGAGTGTGATCAACATGTCCGCAACATTAGTGGTTTATGGGAGAGGAGATTATAAAGGGAGTTTGCAAATCATAGATAGAGCAGCAGCAGTACACGGTGGTGGTGGTGATGGAGATGAAGATGGTGATGGTGATGGTGTGGTGTGGTGTGGTGTGCCAACAAACATGCATATGGACGGGCGGATGGATCTGCATGAGCAAACTTGTGCCGGCCCATTCAATCATTTCTGCAGCCATCGTATCACGTATTAGCCTGGTCGTATTAATTAATATAATAGTGGTGGCTGGCAGGCTGGCTGGCAGTTTGTTCTTCTGACTCTGGCAACTCACCATCATCGCTCTCATCATCATTATCATCACCGTTGCCATTGTTATCATCATATCAATGCACTTAATAATACAATGATTTACTTTAAATTGCAGTGGAGAATGATAAATGGGCATGTCAGTCGGTCATTCCTTGTATTTATTATTATGACTTATTATAATTATTATTATGTATAAGTTAGTCATCATGAAAACATGCTTAGAAGCTAACAAAAGTACCCATCCATCCATCATCTGTAGTCTGCTTGGGGTTTGCGTGTTTCCCAATACAATCTAAGCAAAGCAATGCAATGCATGTACCCCTGTAACTGTAGTATATGGCCTCCCCTTCCTGATGAGCGCGTGCATTTTCATATCGGGGAACACACCAACAGTTTTTTAGTTTTGCCTTAGTTTTGACTTTTTAGTACACCACCTCATCAATAAAAATTGCATCTGCTACTCTACAGACCTCAGTGAAGTCACACGCACATGCATACATACATACATAAACAAAAAGACGATGTTTCTAGCTACAGCACATCCATCCCGTTCACAGTACCAGTATTTGTTTAACATTGCAATAAAGGATTTGTTTTTATATTAGCTTAGTACGGTAGAAAGCAATACTTGGGTGAATGCATATCACTATGAATTTGCGATAGCTACCTCGATGGGATGGGATGGGATGGCCAAGATAATCTACCCAAACGACTGACTACATTCTTCAGACTCGTGCCCGTGAAAGGAAACATTGATGATGATGATGCAGCGACCATCTAACTATACAGACAAATCTAGTGTTGGTTTTGTGCGGTGACACCCAAAGTGTTGGTTTTGAAACAACAGGATGGCGAGGACAAATGAAGACGGGGTCACCAACAGCAGCAATAATCATAACAATAAGAATAATTCAGGCTCATTCGACTCTGCAGATTGGTTTTCAAGTGATAGATAGACAGACAGATAGCAGCAGGCAGCATATCAAGCACCATACACGACTACCAAACAAACCCAAACAGTTCAAGGTTGGTTTATCTGCATATGTAGTTATTCTTGTTGATAAAAATGCTCTTTGGTCCCAAACAGCTATCTAGCATAAACGTACATGACACAAGCGGACATCCTCTTTTCCATCTCTCATGCAGCAGATACCTCTGTCATCTCCTGTTCCACAGCAGCAGGTTCCACAGGGTAGTATTTATAGTGAAGTTCCCCAACATCATCTCCAGATAGCTTTTTCCATCCATTTGGCCCAACATGATATACTGAAAATACAAAGCTAGGTCATGTCAGGTCATGACAGCCACATACACACCGATCCCCGAGAAACTTCCCACAGGGTGGGAGGGAGGGAGGTTTGAGAGCATTACCACTCGCAACGCCACCACTGGCCCCATCACGGAATGTTGCGTGATAGATTGCTCGCCTGGCTAATTCCGAGGCTTCCTCAACTGACATATCAAAACGATATCTACCCAGAATAGACACAATAAGAATATAGACAATAAAGTCTACAAACCACCTTTTATAATCCCTATATTATATAACAAACTGCATTTCATTTACAGCTATTTGATTTGTGAGATGAGTCCAAGGAGTTGCTACGTTTTCATTTTCATTCAATATAACCCAAACAAAGAACAAAGATGGGAAACTAAAAGAGAATAGATGCAAACAGTAAGAGGGGAAAGTTAAACACACCCGCTGTCCAAAACTCCATAAGCATAAGGCGAACCCGATCCAACTGAGAATCTAGTGCCTTTAAGACGCCCGCCTTCACTGTCCACATAATATAGACCAGGACCCTAACACCAAATAGCCATAGAATTACATAAAATTGGCCGAGCAGAAAAGAATGATTAACTTTAACCAACCTGCTCATCCCATCCAGCGATCATTGTTCCAACTGACAAACCCATTCCTCGGTATGAATATAGAATGTTTGCCAACAACTTTGAAGCTCCAGCAACAGATATTCTTCTCTTGTTGGCCAGTTCATGCAACCGACACTAAGACATCCATAAAATCAATCAGCATAATTTCCCATAAGGGTACTTTACAGTACTTCCAGCTTGCAAGGATTGAGAAAGTTCACACAATTCCTCTTAAGAGTGTTGAGAAATTACACATGCACAATAAAATTTACATCTCATGATCTCAAATAAATTCTCCTAGAATTTTTATAATCCCAATGGGGCAAACATTTTACACATAGGACAAACATTCAAAACTTATAAGCCTTTGAAACAAGTGGCAGTGAGATCCACAGTCAATTTCTTAATGTTTAAGGTCCAAGATTTTGTTGAAGTTACCTTGATTCCCAGATTCCTGTGCCAGAACTGGCAATCTGCAGCTCCACCAGCCATTGTACCAAGCATGTATGGATTGATTTCAATGATTTTTTTGACAGATTGCGACGCTGTCACATTTATTCAGATATTAGAGAAGCATGGTTACATAAAAGACCAAATGGGAAAGACACAGAAGAAACAAAGTAATATCACTGTGAGTGATGAGATTCAGTATCTCATTAAAAAATACCAGGCACCAGCAGAGACAGAATGATTTCATTGTCACCAAAATCACAAGAGAAATCGGATACTTAATTAAAGCCTCACATATATATCCCCCCATGCTTGCACGAGAATCAGCTGCCACCATGACACCTTCTTTGAATATAAAGGCCAGAGTGGTTGTTCCCCTTGCTGGCTTCACCATCTGAACTGCTGCCTTTTGAAATCCATCAAACTAAATAACAAAAATTAGGGTACAACTGCTGCAAATAAACAACATAGATGAAAAGAAGAATAAGAAGAAAGAAAAATAAATCATGCTTACATCAACAGTGGTAGGAAGTTTAAATGATGGAGCAGCAAAAATCTCATTTTCTAAACCATCTGTGTTCCTCTTCAGGGGTGCCGAGGGATCCAGCGAACTCAAATTAATCTTCATCATCCTTTTACAAAACAAGATCCAGTTAACCGTCAGAGATTATTATTCATAATATCGTTTGCTTCTCAAATTGAGACGGCCTGAAACTTGCAAATTTAAAACATGGGTTCAAATGTCATAGGTTTAATAAAATTTGTCAAGTGGATGTCCAATATATATATACCCAAATCAACAATTCCTAAAATTCTTAGGATTACGCTTGTGCTAAAACGACGCTTAAAAACAGGCATAACAGAAAACCAAATATTGGAAGCAAGCATTCACACAACTAATGGAAGTGGAAAAACCTATTTCACCCGACAAAGAAAGTGTGAGAAATGGGATCGTGAAATAAAGAATGCAGTGCTGGATCCATATCCAATTCTAATATAAGGCAAAGCTAGATCCGGAGCAGGTATGATATACGTGTTTCTGCATACGTTTAACAGGTCGGAGAGCGATTACCTGAATTCGGCCGACGAACAGCAGAAAATGTAGAGAGAGCGAGGGAGATAACAGCAGAGAAGAGCCGGGACGCAGAAAAGTGCGTCTAAAGAAGAGTATTTCTTGCGCTGCAATACACTGGAGAAGTAAGTGGGCTCTTGATGAGAAGGATTCTTGTGGGCTCTTGATGGGCCCTTGAGCGTTAATTTTACTCTTTTAATTATCGATTTTTAAAATAATACGAGCACACGTATAATACGAATAAAAAATGATAAGTTGGTTGACTGCTGTACAGGATAATAATGGCCTTGATTTGGATGTATATACATGTAGTTTGAAGATTTTAAGGTCTTATTAATAATTTTAAAATAATAGAAAATTAAATAAATATAGATACTTAATTTAATATCTTAAATAAAAAATTAATTGTTACTTTTGTAATTCTTTTTATTTATTTATTTATAAATAAGTGCCCATCAACAAAAAAATAAAAAAATAAAAAAATATATAATTATACAATATATAATATATTTATAAAAATTTAAAATTTTAATATAAAATATAATTTATTTTTTGAATACTTAATATAAAAATACATCAAATTAAAAATACGAAATAACATATTCAATGTTTCCAACAAATACACAACTCATCTTCTCTTTCTCTATTTTTATTTTATAATGTGAAAATCCACAATTACTACAAATTTTGGGTAAATTTTTTACTGAACCTAATATCTTATAAATTAAGTTTGACAAGACAAGTAAACTAGGTGAACTACGTGATTTATCTCCTTTATTTTCATGAACAAGTATTATGTACATAAATTTTATATTATGCTTTTTATCGTACATTTTTTTGTAAAAAGCAAGAAGTTCTTTAACAGACATATTTTTGAAAACATATTATTACTAGTGATGCATTGAGTTTATAAGTGCAATATGGAAAAAAGCTAAATGAAATGTCAAAAAAGTTGATATCTTTAATCAATATTTGGATTTTTAATTAGTATGATTTATTTTACACGCACAATGGCTAAGTGAAAGAACTTTTACTTTAAATTTTTTTCTTTTATCCATTTGGACAGCATATCTAATTTCTTTATCAATTTCGATGACATATCCAAACATAAAACAACAAAATCATAATCCAAAAAATCTTATGTATCAAATATTGTGAAGGATTAGGATTAATGATCGAATAACAAACAGAAAATATAAAAAGACACAGATTTACGTGGGGTAGAAACGAAAAACAGATTTATTAAGAGCGGTTAGGTGACAGATTTGAACCTGTTAATATAAAAAGACACAGATTTACGTGGGGGTAGAAACCGAGAACAGATTTATTGAGAGCGGTTAGGTGACAGATTACAGATTTGAACCTGTTAGCCGTCTGTTAGAATAAGAATACATGTCTATTTATAGACTATGCTAATAATAGTCATATCATATCTCTAAATTTAGAATACAATATCTAATATCAAATTCATATCTCTAGATTCAAGACATATTAACAAATCTCCGCATTGATTTGAATTTCACTTTCAGATGCATCGTTACAATGCAGATAAACAAACGACAAACTAGCTTCAAGGCATATCAACAAATCTTCATCTTCACCTTGACTTAGAATTTCACTTTCAGATGCATCATTACAATACCAGACGATCATACTCCTCCATGCTGCCTCAGATTTGTCCCCATCATGCAACTACTAGCTTGTGACATTTAGCAAGTCCAAACAATGTCGAAACTTGCTATGAGAGACCGATTTGGTGAACATATCAGCAGTTTGACCAGACGTTGCTTAAAAAACAACTTATTGGTTAGAGATTTCGTCATGTAAAAACTCTCCAATTTCTTCCAGAGGCCAACAACAGTTTCCTGATCGGAAACTTTGATGATTACATCATCAGACATAAACAACATGATTGTCGAGTGAGTTTTCTCATCTGCGACATCCCACTCTTCATCATCTACGTTTGCACCTCTCGGTTTTTCAGATAGCGGCCCCCACAAACCATGTTGCTTCAACAAAGGTCGCATTTTAATTGCCATAAACCAAAACTATTTCTCCCGGTAAATTTGTCAACCTTTACGTTGAAAGCAGACATTGTTGATCGACTCACAAAACCCTAGCAGTGCGAAAAAAAAAAAAAAAAAAAAAAAAAAACCTAATCGAAACGACCAGACTCTGATACCGGTTTGTTGTGACGGATTAAGGTTAATGATCGAATAAATAGAAAACTTAGAGAAGACACAGTGTTCACCAACAACCTGTTGGTTACATCCACGGGCAGAAACAAAGAACATATTTATTGAGGGAAAAATTTGAGTCTGTTGGCCGCATGTTAGAATGAGAATACATATCTATTTATAATATAAGTTTAAGCCAATAATATTCATATCATATCTTTAAATTAATGATATAATATCTAATATCTAAATCATATCCTTAGATTCAAGACATATCAACACCAAATCATATTGAATCAACAAAATATTGTTAATTATCTTCCATATAACAAAGAACTTGAAAAAGAAAATCATATGAAAGAAACTAAAAACCTTATATCTCTATCAGATTTACGAATTTTGAGCATTTGTTAACTTTATCACCAAAGATGAAGATGATATATAAGGCCTCACATAGGATTGAATGAATAGTAAATTTAATTTGCAATCTTGCCAAAGAAATTTAATATTAAAATTAATCACATCCACCCATATCGAAATTGAAATTAGTCAAAACAAAATCAAAATTGCATAATTCAAAACCGATTTCTATTTTAGATTTTAAAACTGAAAACAAAATTTAAAAATCGCTCAAATGCTTATTCTTTATAAACAGATGTTCTCCGTTGCATCAGATAAATAAATATTTGAAGGTTGATCGATTGCACAACCAAAAATTCATGAACAATAGAGCGCTCACCTGTGTATGAGAGGGATGATTGATTTTGAGAAGTCGCTTTCGACGAGAGAAAAAGTGTACTCGTCTTCCAAGTGGAAAGAGAAAGTGCGCCTTCACAAGACCTCGATTGCACGAGGTGATCTCCTAGGACTTCGATCTTTTGAGCCTCATAATTTAGATCACTGTGCTAATTTAATTTTCAAATAGTGAAGAAATAACTTGTGTCCGAGACTCTGAAAATTCGAATCATTGTGGTTGCTCTAAGAAGTGAAATTATTTTATTATTTTTCGATGTATTCATGTTTTTAAAATGTGGTTAATTTTTTTAAATTTTTTATTTATTAATTTTTTTATATCTATTTATATTATTGTCAATAATGAACCTCACATATTTTTATATATTTTAATTAAAATTACATTATTAATTCTATAAAAGTTATAATTTGTCGGTACAAAAAATATAAAAAATATCAACAATATACAATTCTCTTAGTTCCCTTAAAGTATATCATTTATTTTTTTTAATAAATTAGAAAATAATATTATATTAGTGTCTAATTTTCTTTAAAATGAAGAAGTTTAAAATATATTTGAAATTAATGAAATAGAAAATGAAATATGTAATGACATTTCAATATGTAGAAATAAAAATAAAACTAAATTATTGAATATAAACTATTATAAATTAAAAATTAAAATGAACTAGTTAGGTAGACAACTTTGAGCGGGCAATTGAGATGATACAGATAAAATAGAGAGTACTGTTTTAGTTACTGTGTAGGAAAGTCTTTTACATGGATAAATTCTATTTTATCCATAATACAATTTGTTTAAAATTTATTATTTTTTTTTATAAAAAAAAAATATAATTTAATAGAAAAAGAAAATTGTTAAGAGGAGTATGAAGTTCCAATTTAATACTTCATTCCTCAATGCAAATGTGTGCTTATTTGATCCGACACGGATTTTAATAAAAGTGAGTAATAATTTTTTTCTTTTATAGTTAAAAAAAGTACAAAATTTTAATAATACTTAGAAAAAGAAGAGAGAGAGTCTTGGTCTGCACTCCCTGTCAGATATAATAAGTTTTATTTCAGTTCCTATTATAAATAAATTGGTCTGCCCTCCTCTTTACTTATTTTGATTTAATCTTGGTCCTTATTTTATGTTTATTCTTTAATATTGTAGACACTAAAAATATATGTCTAAAATCAATTAAATATCATGTATTTTGGAAGAAAATAAAATTTCAATAAAATAAATATATGGTATTTAATTATGCACATATATTAATTTTTGTACAATAAATATTAACCATTAATGCAAAAATCTGCTTAAAATGGAAGATATCGTACAAATATTACATGCATAAATAGAGACATAATAAATTTGACAGCAAAATAAATTAATCTTGTCAATAAATGAAGTATATAAATTAATATCCTCCGAAAAAGGGCAGTGATATAAAGATCTTGGCGAGAGAGGAAGGTGCACAATCAAATCCATCAAGAATGGAAAAGAGCATCTGATTGGAAAAAGGAAAGATTATAAAATCTTCCTATTGGCCAATCAAAACACGCCACGTGGCACCATTAAAAAAGGAAGCCGAAGCACCCATCCCCTATAAATAGGAGTCATGGCCAGTTCATTTGAGACACCGAAGTTCATTTGAAGACTCGCGCAATGATAAGTCTCTCTAGACTCTCTGCAATGTTCTTCATTGTTCTTCGTGTCCTTCAAAGCGTTCTTCGTCGAAAAGTCACCGATTTGGACAAATGATCCAATATTGGTTGGAGAATCGATGGAGTTAACGTTCTTCGTCGTATGTCCGAGCCGGAGGAAGGATCAAAGCTCTCAAAGCCATCGAGGAATCCATCAAAGCCAAGGAAGAGCCTCCAAAATCGTTTCCAAAGCTTCAAGATGTTCGTCACGTTCTTCATAAAAGGCGCAAACCAGGCCCTCTTCGATCCAAAAGTCAAAGGGACACGCCGCCAAAAGCGTTATGGAGCACCAAATCCCCCCCCCCCTCAAAGATCAAATTCCGTCGGATCATCCAAATGAGGCATCAATCCAAAGTCGACGATCAAAATTGCCCACACGGAGACCAAAGTCCTCCAAAAGCGGAAAAGCCAACTCAAAGATCAAAGTCTCGGATCGTCTAAAAAAGACATCAAATCCAAAGCTAATGATCAAATCGTCCACACAAAGACCAAAGCCCTCCGAACGGCCGCAAAGACAAAGCAAAGATCAAAGTC